CATTAAACAAAGCACCATTCAACTCCATAATCAAGGTCAAAAGAATCAACAAACAAATCCTTGATTGAGTGGTGATTTGTCTTTGTCTTGTTGTGCAATCTGGTCAAGCCTCCCTCCTTCCTTATGTCCCTTTCACATGGCCGAGTTTCACATCCCAAATGGAGCCAAAATTATTAGCCCTAAAAGTCCTTAACCTCGGTCAATGAGTACACCCATTAAGGATAAAACAAATGGACATTAATCACTTGAAATGTGGGAAGGTGGTAGGAACTTTCCTTGCTGTTTTGCTCTATATATTTCAGCCATGAGGCCATTGTAATAGCATCTCATTTTGTAATTCTAATGCTACACTTGGAGTGTATTTCGAGTTAGTGTGAAGCTAATTCAACAAATTTCGTAATGAAATATCTCTAAAGTTGTTTACTTTTGAGTGTGTTAGGTGTCTCTTTTATACATTACTAATTATTATTGTGTGGAATAGATAACAGTCCCAAATAAAATAAGTGTTTTTATCTCTTAATCTTTATTTGGTTTATCCCTTTATATCAAAAACACAAAAAAAGAACCCCCTTCTCTACTTCCTATCTCGGCCAGCCCCTCTCCCTTTTAACATACATCATTTCTTGTCCCCAAAACCACTTATTTCTCTGATCTCCTAGCTTTTTCTTCCCTCTTTTACACGGCCTACACCTCTCCCATAAGCCACCTTTCTCCCTTCACCATTTCAAGTCTGAAAATATGCCCTTCACTACCCTTTTTCATCTCTTATAATCTGCCCTATTTATATCCTAAGCCATCTTAAGCTTGGGTATAAGAGATGCAAAACTATTGTCTACGCTAAACTAATACACAAAAACTGAAAATCTAAAACGTAAATACAAAGATATGAACTACATTCATTATTACTGGATTAATGATTTTGATAAAACTTTAAAAGGCAAGGGTTATTATTTTCACAAGTTTTATTACTATTTCCTAAAGAAATGAAAATACTCCTCATTTGTCAAAGTGAACAAAGCACATTGGGAATGTTCTTGAGTTCTTGACTAATATTTACTTTAACAGTAGCAAATTTTTTGAAATGTATTATGCTTTCCAAGGGCAATTATTCAAATGTAAAATGAAGCGAAAACATCTTTCCAAATATCTCACTTTAAATTCCAACAATAGCACATGGTATTGGTACTGACATTAACTAATTCAATAATTTCCGTTTCTAAAAGAAATTTCAGACCATTTATCATATTTGAGGCATCACATAAAAATTAGTTCAGACGGTGTCTTAGCAACAATGGAGAGGGCATGCAGTCCACTCCTCAGCTCCTCTTGCAACAAATCATATATCAACCTATGCCTCTTGACCAAACTCTTCCCCTCAAACTTTTCAGAAACTGCTGTCACATTGAAGTGTGTTTCTCCACCACCGGTGCCCCTAATTCCAGCATGGCCAGCATGCTGATGCGATACATCTTCAACGTGTAACTCAGAAGGGCTGAGCTCCCTCTCAAGTCTATCCCGGATTCTCATCCCTCGACTCCCTAGAACAACATTATCATGTGATACTGCTTTGCTATCACTGCCATCAGTCTCCTCAGTACTCACTTTAGTCTTCAAATCTGGACTCCCGTCATTCTTAGTCACTCCCAAATTTGATCTCTCAGTTGGCTTGCTCACACCCTCAAAATGATAAACACTATCATCTGATACTGCTTTGATATCACTGCCCTTAGTCTCCCCAGAACTCACTCTGGACTTAAAATCTGGATCACCATTATCATTAGTCACTCCTAAATTCGAGCCCTCAGTCAGCTTACTCGCACCCTCATTATGACTGAAACTTCCAGCTTTTTCAGCTTCCACACACATCTGAGCTTTTCTCTGCATCAGCTTGAGCATATTCAAAAGCCCATTACTTCTAGATTGTGTTAAACTCTGTTGCAATCCGAGACGTACCATAAAATTGGGTGATACCCTCGAAATTTTCTCAGCAGAGCAGCCTGAAAGTCCTTGAACCAGCAAAGCTGCAAGGCCCTTAGTTAACACCGTGTCAGAATCAGCCTCAAAGACGACACATTTATTTTCATCAAGATATGCCCTTATCCAGACCTGTGAGATGCACCCATGAACCTTATTCTCGGCAGTCTTATACTGAGCATCCATAGGTTTCAAATTCCTCCCATAAAACATAAGCTGTTCGTACTTAGCCTTGGGCTGCTCCACTGCTTGGAAAAGCTTGACTATCTCTTTAAGCTTTTGGGGCAAGTCATCATCACCGGGATTTGAAGGTGATGAAGGTCCAGTTGGAATTGCAGAGATTGGTTTCGTTGGAATACTCTGAAAAGTAACACGCTTGACGAAGATGAACTTTCCAGAAGTTGCACTTGAGGTTTTTGAATTGAAAATTTTCAGAAATGGCTTGCAGAAAAGAGGGTTTGGGATTTTTGTGGCATAAGACATGGGGAGTTGATGAGAGGGAACGGAACTGAGTTTGTATAGGGGGTATGGTCTAGAAAGATTATGAATTGATAAAGAATAGGGATACTTATTTGAGAAAAGATATGTGCCAAGAAGAGATTGTTGAACTGCTGATGCTTTTATCTCATGCCCCAAATATCTGTCAGCAGCAACAATAATTACAAACAACAACAAAACTAAGCTTCACGCATCATTGATAATTAAAACATTCAAAATAGGTTAAAAGGACAACCAAACTAGCAGTCCAAATGGAAAAGGCGCTATTGATTCGGATTAAGTATTTTGAATAATGTTTCAACTATGCTTGAAAAGAAATGTGCCAAAAGAGATTGTTGAACTGCTGATGCTTTTCTTCTCATGCCCCAAATATCTGTCAGCAGCAACAATAATTACAAACAACAACAAAACTAAGCTTCAAGCATCACTGATAATTAAAATATTCAAAACAGGTTAAAAGGACAACCAAACTAGGGGTCCAAATGGAAAAGGCGTTAGTGATTCGGATTAAGTATTTTGAACAATGTTTGAACTATGCAAAATTGCAAATTGAAACTTTTAAAAGGGCTAGACCTAAAGGCTACCATTGGATAGCTTTTGTAAAAAGAAAAAGCTAATACCAAATCAACACAAATTGCAAATTGAAACTTGAACAATGTATACTATATAGGGATTAATGGCGTGGAACATGAATTTAAAACTTCAGCCTGGCATTAATCAATCAAGTACAGCCGCACATGAATACTCGATGGGACAAAACCAATCCAACCAGCAAAAGATGAATTATGTACTGGATATTTTTAATAACAAAAAAAACTACAAATTAAAAATCGGCACACACTAATCAAATAGAAGAAAACAATGAAAGGAGGAGGTAGGTTGTGAGATGTGACTGAGGCGACAGGGCCGACACGGAAAATTCTTGTCATGGGTTAACATAAAAATGTACATCTAGAGTACACGTGTCAAACATTAAGTAAGGAAGTGATCTATGAAATAAAAACTTACATATAATGTTAATAATCAGAGTTAAATTGATAATCAATAATAGATCTTTCAAATGTATGTGTCTATTTTTCATATTTTGAAAGTGAGACATGATCGTTAATGGTAGCAAAAACATCTCTATGTATGCAATTAGAGAGATGTCTCTATTTAACCATTGTAATTCGCTCTCTTAACCCCGGATCAACTTCTCAAGACTCAAAATCATGATTCTCTTCACATCTTTTGTCATTCAATGGGGTTTCATGTTCACTAGTGTTTTGCTCTAACGGGTAATTTAAAGGGGATAAAGAATTTGAATTCAAGTTAAAAAGATTCTCCCTTGATTCAAGCTCTTTTTGAATCTTGGAGTATGTTTGCTTCCTAAATTTAAAATTAAACAATTTAAAAATAATTAGAAAGATGCATTAAATTAACTTTACTAATTAGAGTAATAAAAAAATAACTAAACCTTCATATGAAAATTAACCAAATAAAAATTTCATAGCTCACAAATTTACAAATAAAAAATTCAATCATAATTGATAAATGTCTAAAATAATTAAACAAATACGAAGTATTTAGCTGGATAAAGTGAAATCCAAGAACAAAAAGATTGAGATGGAGGGACGGAGGACGTACCATTGCGGCGAGCAGGCGCTCGAACTTCGGCGGCGTTGTCGTTGGGGCCGCGTCTTGGGCGTTGGGCGATGGCTGAGCGTAGTGTACCCAGCTGGCTGCGAAGCTGCGTCCGGACTCCTGAAGCTAGACTTTGGTGTCTCCGCGTCTCCTGAATACTCAAATTAGTACTCATGTTTTTTTGTTGAGAAATATTGGCTGAACATGACTTGGTACACTAAGCCAAAAATAGGCATACAAGACACTTAATGTCTGTGCGTGCACAGACATTAAGTGTCTCTGTGTGCCTATTTTAAACTTAATGTACATGTGGTGTACCTCAAGTGGTATTTCTCTAGCACTCCTGTTTTTGGTTTTTGCTCGCACTAAAGAAATATCATAAAAAAACTCAAAGCTTATAAAATTGATATTGATGGATATATTCCACCCATGACCGGTCAAAGGAGAAGACCAATTAGTTGACCGGTCAATCTCGAAGGTCTTGGAAGGGAGACTTAAATCATCAGCAAATCGATATGTGATTTGCTAGAAAAAGATGACCGGTATACTTCACGAAAAAGTATACCGGTCAAACTACTTTGTCACCCTATTTTTTCCCTGACTTCGATGATTTCATCCCTCGGAGATTACCCGGTGTAGTTTCTAGGGTTGGAAAGTGTCGGCAGAAGAGAATCTAAAAGGGCTTGGCGTGTAGCGACCCATGTCAGTGGAGGATAGCTGGAGATACTTGAGAAATCCATCCAAGGCACTACTTGACAAAGGGAATAATTCCCCTCGCAAGGCGACAAGGCTGCTCGAGGATGAAACCAATCACGTCGCACCACATCAGCAGCATGCCCCCACGTGGGCGCACGTGGTCTTGTCCCCCTTAGCCTAGTATAAATACTCATGTAAACCTTAGAAAGAGGGATCCGAATTCATTCTCTCTAAACTCCCTTGTAAAAGCACCCGTGCATTCTCTGTTATAATATAAGTTGGGCTACAGGTGTTCCACCTAAAGTCTTACCGGTCACTCTGCGTGTTTTTACCTTTCTTGTTTTACCAAATCAAGCAAACTATTCTAGACCCGGTCTAGTATAGTTTGACCGGTCAAGTAATTTACACCATCATTTTTGGCGCCACCCGTGGGACTGTTAAGGTTTCTTCTCTTCTAAACACAAACCTACCCACGAAAATACCACTCAAAATGTCTTCGAGTCAACAAATCAACGTTACTTCCACTCAGGTGCAAGCCACCAATGAGGATACCAGCATCCCTGTGGCTGCTACCTTACCGGTCATTTCCGCCCCAGTGTTGCCTTTGGGTCTGAGCTCTGTCCCAACGCCCAGCGTGGTCAGCCCCTTCACGACCCCCGTCCCTTCCGCTGGACCAAGGGTCACGTTCCCACCAAGCATGACTCAGTTCATGAATGACCCAGCCAACCTACAAGCCATCCAGGGCTTTGGCCAGGTCATGGCCATGTGCCAACAGAATAGGGGGATGCCTTTCCTCCCTGGCATGTTTCCATTCGCCCTTCCGGGCGCTGGAACGATGCCCCTTCAAGCTCTCATGGCAGTGACGCCGTTCCAGACACTGATGCTGCAGCCATCACCTTTCCAGCCGCAGCTGGTCAGCACCGTAGTGTTGTATTTAGGTGCCCTAGCGGCAATCAAATACCTATGTAACTGTACACTTTATCATGAATGAAAGGCCTTGAAGTATGTTTTATATCTCGTGTAACATAACATAGCTTTAGTCCATAGACGATAGCGCTTCAGTAACATAGATGAGGACTACGATGTTCTGATTATGAGACTTTTACTTCTTGACGAAGGCTGTGTCTAGAATATCCCTAGTCGCACTTTATGAT